CCATCGCGGACGCGCTGTTCAGAGCAGCTTCAAACCATGCTGGCGAAGTGAAAGTCGGAGGGGGTGCCAGAAGCTGTGTGCCACCTCATCAAGCTGCGCGGCCCACCCCGTCCCGCTGGAGGGATCGTCGCGAGCAAGCTTCGACTTTTCCACGGCCGCGGCTCTCGCTGAGTTCCACCACCAGCCCCGCCCGTCAGAATCCAGCCCTCTTCACTCCGGCAGCCTGCAGCTCAGCGTTTCCCCAGAGTTCGCCTGCAAGACAGCGCTCTGGGCAAACAATCGCAGAGCTCATGAGAGAGAAAGCTCTCAAAATGACGGTCTCCGGAGGGTGTGTGTAAAAGTGACACGAAAGTTGAAATAAATCATCATTAATGATCAAAGTGTCTGTTTTTTTAGCCAGTCTGTAAGCCCGGATGAGCTCACAGCGGCCGCACACATAAGAGCCGGTGTTCTTTATAAGGCTTTTTAAACTCACCGCCGCTCCAAGACATTACTAGTCGCTTACAGGGCACGATGGTAAGTGAAAATAACTCGTTATAATCCCGGGCTGCACGTTTTTCACCCAAGCGATGTCAACTCGCACTCGTGGGATGAAACAGCCCCACACACGAGCCGGTGTCCTTAAATAAAGGTTTTTAAACTCACCGTCGCTCTAAGACATGACGAGTCGATCACAGAATAGCCTCCACACATGAGCCGGTGTCCTTAATTAAAGGTTTTTAAACTCACCGTCGCTCTAGACATGACGAGTCGATCACAGCACAACGGTAAGCGAAAATAACTCATTACCAACTAGAACTGCACGATCCTCACTCAAGCGGTGTCAACTCGCACTCGTGGGATGGAACAGCCTCCACATGAGCCGGTGTCCTTAAACAGGATTTTAACTCACCGCCGCTCTTGACATGACGAGTCGATCACTAAGATGAACAGTCTCCATCCAACGGCGCTGCGTTGATGCTGGCGCACACACACAGCTGCCGGCGCTAACCAGCTCACATCGGTATAAATGTGGTCCGCAGGCTGGTTCGGGTGGGGGCCCTTCTCTCTCACAAGAAACGACACCCGTCTCGACGAATCAACGCGGGCAGCCGTCACCACCGCGTCTCAGCTTTCGGCAGCTCACCGCAGCTAAACGCGAAGCAGCTGAAGAACCCGGTAATGAGTCCCGCCTCCCTCCAGCGCGCGCCCCTCCAGCGAGAGCGGCGAGCGTCCCTCCAGAGACAACGGGTGCTCCCGCGGGGCTAGCAGCCTTCACTCCAACAGCACGGCGTAAACGAAGTCATGCCCTCCGCCTTTTTCAACGTTCGCACAGCGACGTCAAACGCGCAGCCCCACCGCGTCATCAGCTGTCACACGCTTCGCCTCAGCACAAGTCTCGCCCGGGATCACACAGAAAACATTCCCGCGACGCATGACGGCGGTTGAGGGGCGGACGGCTGACAGCCGTACAAAACATGACACATCACTTAACGCACGTTCACCCTACGAACGTTACGTAGAGTGGCTAAAACATGCTCGCCGTTTTTCAGATGGATGGACAAGGTTTTTATGCAAATGGTACAAGTTACAGTTTGCAACCCGAACCCCTCCATTCAGAGGAGTTATAAAAAACGGCCCCGTCATCATCAGACTAAATCTCATCCCTAAATGCAGAAATCCAAGTGTTTTCTGATAAAAGTAATCTACAGAGTTCCCCAAGGGAGAGAAAACACAAGGTTTTTACTCACGGATCGGAGGGGTGAGACCGTTCTTGGATCTGTTGTTTAACATCCAGAGAACGCATACCGATCATCCTAACACAGAGACGAGAGTTTTTGTTTTACCTGGATGATCTGCTGCTCCTGTCAATTCAGACAGGAGGCGCTGATGCAGGATCAGGTGTTGACATCACACCTGTTAAATCTGGGCTTCGCCATAAATTGGAAGGAAGCTCGATTTTTCCAGCCCAGACATTTGTTTCTGGGAGTGGAATTAAATTCAACCACCATGAAAACTCTTTTATCACAAACTAGATTCGACACTTTTTAAAAAGTCAACTCAGCCACGTAAGACCTAGCAAGTTATAACAGCTGTCTCCGTCATGAAGCTGTTGGAAATGATGTCACTCACACAGTGTTTTCCACTGGTTTGTTTCACATGAGACGCCTCCAGAGGTGTTTTGCACGTCTGCATGTGGATCCAGTAAAACAAACGACGGATGATTATTGTCCCTTCCTCTGTGGAAGCAGACCTCCGACTCTGGGGAAACACCTTGTTTTCTGTCAGAGGGAGTCCCCATCAGCAGACCCACGTCACGGGTCAGTCTTCACGGACACGTTGCTGTCAGGCTGGGGGGGGGGGACATGCCTATCTCAAGCAGTAGGGGCGCTGTGGCCCCACTACACATCAGCCCACATCAATGTTTTGGAGTGTCGCACAGTACTGAATGTGATTCAACACTTTGCTCCCGTGCTACAGAATCAACACGTGTTGATTCACACAGACAACATGATGACTGCTGCGTACATAACCATCAAGGGTGTGCGTTCAGCCCAGATGTTACACATTGTGCGAAAGCTACTGTGTTGGGTTAATCAACCTGCTCTTTATTAGAGCGGTTTACATATCCGGTGTTCTGAACAGAGGGGCGGATGTGACGTCCAGGGGCGGCCCACGTCACGTGGACCGGACCCTCCATCCAGACCTGATGTTTTTCAGACACAGCAGAAGTTGGCAAAACAGCTGTGGACCTGTTTGCGACGCGAGAAGAACGCTCAGTGTCAACTATGGTTTTCCCTGAGCCCGCGAGACGACCATCGCTGGGGGGGGACGCATTTGCTCACAGCCGGTGGCCCAAAACGCTTTTATACGCGTTTCTTTTCCCCCACCTCCTCTGTTTTTTACGGTTCCTGAACCGAGTTCAGGAGGAGGGATTGACAGCTCTCCTGGTGGCTCCCGGCGTGTGAACGCACCATGGTTCCCAGGCCTGCAACGTCTGTTGTCGGGTCGCCGTGGAACTGTCGTGGAGGGAGGATGCTCTCCTTCAGGCAGGAGGAGCGACCAAGAGTTAACCAGAAATAGGTCAACACCTGTGGGTCTGACCGCTGAGCGGTCCCACTTAGAGGATGGGTCTCCCTCAGGAGATAGTGTGCACAATTCAAGATTCACGTGCTGCATCTACCACAGTTCTGTACACATCAAAGGGGATGGCTTTTCAGCGCTGGTGTACAGAGAAGGTTTAGAGGCCACCTCATGCCTTTTAGGCGGCGTGTTGTTTTTTCTACAACAGCTGATGGATAGGGAGTTGGTTTTCAGTACGCTTTAACGTACGTTGCAGTCATCTATTCCTGCCACGAAGGTTTCGGAGACAGAACAGCTTTTAATCACCCGCTGATAAGCGTTTTTCTAAAAGATGTTCAGAGACACAGGCCTGCTTCACGTCCACTTGCTCCACAGTGGGATTTAACGCTGGTCCTGCGAGCCCTGATCAAAGCTCCAATTGAGCCTCTGGATCAGGTTTCATTAAATTCTTGTCTCTTTAAACAACCCTGCTGGTGGTTTTAACACCCGCTAAGAGGATAAGTAATTATCTGCCCTCTGTTGCTTCGTCATGCCTTAGAATTTAGGCTGACGGGCAGCTCAACTGATTTAAGACCAACCCAGCTTTTATGCCTAAAACATCACGAGCTCTTTTAAATCAAGAGTGATATCGTTGGAGGGGTCTTTTCCCCCCCACAGATCAGAAGAAGAAGCATCTTTTCATCTTCTCTGCCCGGTGCGGGCGTTGACGTGTTACATGACGCGCACAGCTGCAATGCGTTTCAAACTCAACAATTGTTTGTGCATTATAGAGATGCATCTGCAGGTCGCCGTTATCCATCCAGCGCTTGTCACTGGCTGTGTGAGGCCTTTTCTGAAGCCTACAGAGCATCAGATTTAGGGCCTCCTGTCAACCTCTAAGCACACTCGACCAGGGGTATCGCATCTTCGACTGCTCTGCATAATGGTATGTCAATGCAGGACATTTGCACTGCGGCTGCATGGTCAACACCCTGCTCATTTATTCGCTTTTACCTACGTGATGTGACGGCTCGTTCCATGACACATTCTGTCCTTAGTACTCTAACAGAATAAATATTGTTGTTCTCATGGAACTCTGTTTAAGCTCACTTCTGTCTGCATGCATTACAGTGTGAGATGTTGTTATCAGTCACAAGTCGTGTCTGTGATTTTGGTTCTATTGTCACTAATCCGTTCATGACTATTGTTACCAATCAGTTCATTTGATCAATAATCAATTCATGGACATTAATCTGTTTATACTGTTCAGCCATGAACCAGTTGGTTCATGCCCCCCCCCCCCCTCTTTTCAACTTCTTCTTCCGTTGAAAGTTTTCCGGGGCATTCATGCTTTGTCAGAACGCATAGTTACACAACATGCGTCTGTGCATGGCACATAATTACGCGATGCGTAGTTATGCTCACGGGGAGCTGAGTGACAAGACATTTTTTGGGCAAGCTTCCGCTTCTTACTGTGTTCGAATGGACCCAGTGAGGCGAGGACCACATCGGCTTCGCCCTTTACCCACTAAAGCGAAGGCCTTAAAGGGCGAAGCTTATACGACATAGAACGTTGGTTACGTACTGTAACCCCAGATTCTATGAGTATAAGCGTAGCCCTTTAAGCGTCGGGCCTCACTGGCTCCTAAATGGCTGAAGAAAAAGCTATTTTGGGAGCCGATTTCCCGCTCTTAACGTAATTTATACGGACCGGGTGGGGCCCACACAGCAGGTGGGCGTGGACTAATTTTTTTCACTGCTTATGCTCTGCATAATGGGATAAACCACTAAAGCGAAGGCCTTAAAGGGCTACGCTTATACTCATAGAATCTGGGGTTACAGTACGTAACCAACGTTTTACTTTTATGTGCAGAAATAGTTTTGAAATTTGTCAGACAGATTGATGTAACCACACATTTAGACATTAACTTTTTGTTTGTTTGTTTCGTTTTCAACAGGAACAGAGTCTCACTCATCAGACCTAGGTAAGAAAGAAACTATTAAAACTGAAAACCTGAACAAAAGAACAGTGTAAAATAGGATGTTAGCATTACTATATTTATCTTCAGATCAACAATTTCCTGCGGGATCATTAAAGTTCTTCTTTTGTCTCCTCTTCAGATTCCTGGCGGTCTCACAGCGCAAATGATGGTCTTAAAAATGGAGATGCCAACAGCTCATCTCTTGCCGCCAAAGGCTTTCGAAGTGTCAGACCCAACCTGCAGGACAAAAAGTCGCCCACGCAGGTGAAATATCTCTAACAAAGAGTGATATTTGTTATACTATCCGATTTATTGCCAAGATTTTCAATAAGAGAATCATTTTACTGTATTTTGATCTTACTGATGGGTAAAATTCTCTATAGGGAAAAAGTTCTTCTAATGACAATTACTAGATAAACAGGAAACCACTTTGACCTGTTAGTCACGTACTTGAAACAACAGAATGTCAAACTTGGCGCTGATGATTTTTCTTGTTTCTTTTGTTGCTGTTTGAACTTACATTGGCTGCTGCCTCTGATTGGCTAACAAGGTTGTCAGTCCCTTACCACTTCCACCCCCCAGGAGAGAAAGCTTTCACTTTTTGCCCACTGGCACCAAACCACCAGATTACAGCTCCATCATTAGTCTGGCTAATGACCTGAGTCCTGGAACAGTAACGTTCACCAAGAACGACAAAGCAGTTTTGAAAGAGTCCTACACAGTTAGCAGCATGTCTTCTTGCTCTTTCTTTAAATCGAGTGCAAAGTCAGTCCAACAGGTTGATGAGTCCACCGTTCCAAATGATATGAGCAACTTCAGTTCATCTGCCACTGCTAATAGTCGGGAACGTAAAGTTTCTTCCCTTGAACTAACGCCTGTCACTATCCCTGACCCCCCTTCTCATCATAACTTTGAAGTCGGCACACATACTAAGATCCAGACTGTATGCTCCCCTCCACAATCTTCCTCACCTCCACCAGAAGCTCCAATCCCTTCTCAACCCCCATCACAGACTGCTTCATTTACTGTTCACTTGGGCAAAGAGAATCTGGAAAAACCAGCATCGTTTATGTCAAACCCAAGAGTGGACGTCAAGATCCCAGATCAGACCCCAGCTTCAGTTCCATCCCAGGTGGAGATGTCAAAGCTTCCTCCGGCAACTCCACCAAGACCTTCACCTGCAGAACTGTTGGTACATAACTGACTGTGTAATGTAACAAGAGCCTTAAGTACAAGTCATTGCAGTACAATACGAGTTTGTATCTTGGAAACATCAACGGAGACTAAAGGGTTTACACATGAGTTGCTGCACATCATTTGATATGAAAACATAGACAGATACTTTATTAATCCCTGGGGGGGAAATTCAAAGCATCCAGTAGCTTGTTTTAATTATACAGAAAAAAGACACGTATGAAAGAATAAAAAAAGAAGCAGAATACACAAATTTGGTAAAAGACAGTATGCACATGCACAAGGTTGTAGGGAATATTACATTCATGATTAACCTATATATATGTATACTTACATACACATCTAAGCATACATATACATGTTCTGTATATAATATGCATATGTACATGTAAATATACATGCATACATATACATACATGAGGAACCGTTGATGTGCTGTGCTAAATTTAGAGCAAAGCAGAGAAGTGCTTTTTGTCTCCTGACAGTTTGACACTGACATTCTTTAAAAAATATGCATCTGTTTTTAATGCATGTTGGCTGCTACAAATGTGTGTTACCCTTTAGTTTGTCAGTCTTGATGCTTCCATCTGCAACTGCAATCTTTATATTTGTGTGAATATGTATTTTATGTATGATAACCAAATATTGTATGTACTATATGTCACAGTTCCTGTAAAACAATCATTTTGCTGATTAGCACTGAGACTGGACTAACGGAGGCTCTTTGATTTACAGCATTGTTTGTTTCTGATGCTGCAGCCATATGTAACAGTTTGATTTCACCATCTGCCAAGCTTCCGTGTTGTTTTCACACATCCCTTTTGACCGTGTGGCTAATTTTTGATATAACTAAGTATTCGCCTCCTCTCCTCCCTCTCCTATCAATTCCTTCTTACTCCAACACCAGGGGCCTCCTTCCCCTGACCCCTCAGCACGGCACTCCCCCTATCGCTGCCAGAGCTCTGAATCACTCGACTACCTGTCCAGCCTAATGCCCAAGGCTCTGTCGCCCACCCCGTATGTTCCTAGTGGTGTCGTTTTCAAAGCTGGTGCAATCAGCAGTCCAAGCCTCACCACGGTCAGCAGCATGAGCGTCGGTGGCTGTGTGTCACCCGCAGCTTCACCTGTGACGGTGTCGGCACTCAGCCACTACTCGTCGTCTACAATAGGTCTGCTGGATGAGCTGCAGATCTGTAGCCTGGACTCACCCAGCGCTTCACCCACGCCATCGCCCACTCTCAGCCATGCCTCTGCCTACACATCCACTGCTGGGCCTGATGATGCGCTAACAACCTCTGTGGGCTCCACTGCCGCAGCAGCCACTGTCACTAATGTAATTATCTGAACAAGCCACCTCTTTAACACACATCATACATTTAAAAAATGGTTCCCACTCTCCCCCTACTCATTTTAATGGCTAAACCAAACACTTTTTTTTTTTTTTTACTTTAACTAACCATCAACTAAGATGCAAAACCTGAGCACTTTGTTTCTGTATTGTTTATATGTTTGTATTCAATAGAGCTTTGTCTTTGTCAGCTTCTTTATATGTTTGCCGCTTTTGACTTTTCTTTCTTTCACTAATCACACAGTTTATTAAAGGAAAATAAATCTTATATTTTAGAATTGGGCTCTATTTTTACTGTTATCTAAATCCTTGGAAAATCCATTTATAAACATCAGACTGGAATGCTTAAATGCTGTGATGCCAATGTCACAACCCAGCTCAAGGGTCAAAAAATACTCAAAATGCCATTTAAAGGTATATATTAAAACTAAAAGGAAAGAAACTGGCATTAAAAAATTGGATGCGTCTGGTCAATAAAGTCACAAATGATAAAGTGAATGACTATGGTGAATGCAAATACTGTGTTTTTGAAAAACAATGAATTTACACAGAAATTAAATGCTTGGCACAGCCATTTTGCTAACCATAGCGATCATCGCCGCCCAACAATCACCTACACAACCCTCTTTGTAGGCCACTTTGTTTACATTTGTGAGGCCCCTGATAGCTTTGGTGTGTTTGTTCACAAGGCACAAGCAAATGTTTACATGCGCAAAATTCTTTGAACGGATTGAAATGTTTTCAGATTGAATAATCCAAATGTATCGTTTACATGGGCACAATCCGTTCATGACGAGCGTTTACATGCAGCGGGCTTTGTTCTGATCAAAGTTCAGTGCAGTTCTACTTCCCCGACATGCTAATATTATTAGCATTAGCCAGGTGGAAATGACAGGTTGCACGTGCGCAGTCAGGTCAGTTTTTCACGATCGGAAAAAAATGAACAGATTAAGCGTTTACATGCGCACCGTTCGGGTTATGAATCGGCGTAAATCACCCATTTCGTCCTGATCACAAGTTATTTTGGATCGCGCCGAATAAACAAAAAAATAACCTGAACGGGGCATTCACATGACGCTTTTTTATTCCGAACGGCTGTTCAATGCCATTACTTATGTCCATGTAAACATTAGTAACTGCTGAAGAATTTATTTTGTTGCTAAAGTGAACTATTGGAGCCTATTGGCTGCAGGTTTTTAATTCAACATGTAAATGCCTAACAAGATACTAGTTGCAAGCCCATGACTCTGCCAATACCCTTAAATATTCTTTAT